CACTGGGCCCTGATTAAAAAAAAAAGGAAGAGGGTGGGGACCGGGGGGGGGGGTGTAACTTCACAGCTTATAAGAAGCGGGATCTGACTCCTATGCGTGTCATCCTTCCGAGTTTCATCTTTCGAGTTTCAAAACATGCAGCGTCCGCCGTTGTTCTCTTTTTTTTTTTTGTCTTTAATATCGCAGGTAAACGGGTCAGCTCCTAGGCTACCAGCCAGGCCGCCCGGATCACCCTATTTTCCCGGGAGGCCCGGCCGTGCAGGGACCAGGGAAGGTCCCAGCCAAAAAAAAAAAACAAAAAAAAACAATCCAAAAAATCCAAAAAAAAAAACGATGTTATGCAGAAAAATAAACTGAACAACTTTTGCCTCAGGGTCACATCGAAATTCTTTACGAAATTTAAAATAAAACTTTAAAATAAAAAACAATTTTTTTTATTTTTTATTTCGTAATATCTTTTTGGCCCGGCTGGGCAAGTGGAGCCGGGCCACTCTGGTAGCCTAGGTCAGCTCAGTTTTTTTTTTTTTTTTTTTTTGGGTCAGCTCAGTTGGTACACCCAATGAACAGTTAAAATACCGACGCATGTTCGAATGCAGCTGTGATCAGATGAACGGAATAGAATAAGTCTGAATTTCCTGGGGCTGTATATCTCAAGGCCGTCGCTGTTTTACAAAAAAAAAGATGGAATTTTTCTTTTTAATAAGAAAAAAATCCGGAATGCATTGCCCGTGGAAACCTCCGTAGAGTTGATGCCGAATCCTGCGGCTGTGAACGTTCACATGGTCGTTCGGCGGCAGCGAGAATCATCATATCAGTGATAATGAAGAGCCTGACTACACCGCACACGAAACGAAAAGAGAAGCCGTGCATCTTTCGGCAGAAAGTGGGCAAATTCATCCGTTGCTAAAAATAGTAACGAATGTATCTTGCCACCTGCTGTGAGCATATGCACTCGTTCTTCTTTTTTCCCCGTTTCGTGCTCGGTGTGACGTGAGCCAGCTTTCCTAAAATGTATTCTCTGGAGAAAGAAAAGCCAGTCCATATCTCCGTCAGTTTCGTCTTGAATCGGAATGAAAATCGTCCGAGCTTCACTCTGACATTGTTGTCCAGCCACATAATGCTGTGAAAAGAAAAAAAAGAAACAAAAAAGAAAGAAAGAAGCACACGCACAGAGAACAGATAGATGCAGAGGACCACACGCACGCGCACACACAACCCCCACCCACCCCACACACACAAGTCCAACGAAACAGTCTGGCACAGTCATGCTTTTCTTGAGTGTATAGCCCATACGACAACACACACACACACACACACACACACACACACACACACACAGAGGAGAGAGAGAGAGAGAGAGAGAGAGAGAGAGAGAGAGAGAGAGAGAACGCAAGTGCATTCCGGGGCGAAACACTTGTCGAAAAGGGAACAAGCATATTTGCAAGCTAAGAAAAAACAACAGATGCACTGAAACATTATTCAATTTCCAACAATTTGAAGTTATTTAGGATTAATTAATTCATGTTGAAGTAACAGCTAGAGTAATTCAATTTGAAGTTATTTAGAATCCGATCATTAACTTATGAAGTAAATAGATATACTAATTAAGTAATTGGTAGTCGCATTCGGCAGCAGTCGCATGACTTACAGCGTGAGCGACCTCCGGTCCAACTGCAGGCCCCTGGGATGGTGCACGAGGAGAATGGCAGGGAGGAGGGGAAAAAGGAGGGTAAGGAGAGAGAAGAGGAGGAGTCCGAGGAGAAGGAGGAGTAGGAGGAGGAGAGAGAGGAGGAGGGGAAACTAGTAGAGTCGACGAGCGAGCGCGTGGGGGAAGAAGCAGAGGAGGGGGAGAGCGAGACAGAGGAGAGCCACCCTGAGCATAGGTAGCATTAGAGAAGGGAGCATAGGGAGAGGAAAGACGACCAGGAAGAGATACAGGGGAGATAGGATGGGCAGTGGGAACGACGGGAGAGAGAGAACGAGGGGAGAAAGGAGAGACAGGATAAGCAGTGGGAGCGAGAAAAGATAAAGTCTCAGAGCGAGGAGAGAGAGAAGCAGGAGAGCTGGCACGAGCATAGGGAGCCCGAGGAGAGAGAGAACGAGGAGAGCGAGGCTGACGACAGAGGTCTTCAGCAGACGGAGCAGAGGGAGAAGAAGGGGAGGAATCGGGACGAGACAGCGAAGGCGTGCGCTTAGGATAGTAGAGAGGAGCAGAGCGAGGAAGAAGCGAAGCACTAGGAGGAGAAGGAGGAGAAGGAGGAGGAGGAGGTGAAGTTTCCTGAGGACCAGGAGGAGAGCCTTCCCCACTGTGTGGCGATGGAAAGGGAGGGGAGGAATGGTGGGAGGAGCTACGGGCAAGCGCTTTCCTCATATCGATATCCTCCGCAGGATCGCCTCTCCTCTCGTTCACGCAAACTAAGCTTCCCGCAAGTATGACGCATAACACTGCAATTATAGGCAGAATTGTCCTCACGGCTAACTCCAAGGCCGTTCTCCGGGGAGAATGGGACCCGTCAGACTCGTCGCGGTAGGCAGAGGAATAATTGCCATCGGCGGGGGGAGAAGAATCGACCTCGTGCCCAAGGTTCATCGGGGTGTGTCCACAGGCATGCAGGAGGGACCTGTCGATTTCCACCTCGAAAATGGACCCCCTGAACGACCCCACGTACAATCTCAGCCTGTCACCCTCATCCCGAAGGGCTAAGGAAGATAATCCAGACCCCCCACTGTCTAGCGCGGCCACCGTCTCCACAACACCCCCCTCTCGGCACGGAGAGGTCAGCTTGACCCATCGGACCCGCCCACCGGCGTAGTTGTCAACGACGAACAGATTGCACCCATCAGCAGTGGCAGCCACTTTCTCGAGATCCACGAATCCCGATCGAGATAATGGGCCGTCAGACACCTTCTCCTCGTCTCCTGAGGCAATCAGGCTGAAGGTATTGCCCGCCGACTTGCCCATCGCCCACAGATGATCCTTGGACCGATCGACGAAGTATAGGCAGCTTCCATTGGCTGCAAAACCGCCGGCGGCGAACGACGGCTCGACGACCACAGGGTCGTCGCCAGTTGGATTGGTATCCTCCCCCTGATGCAACTGCCCGTCGTCGGATCGATTGCGCGAGAAGGTTTCGACCATCTCGAAGACCGTTGACGCATTGAGCGGCGTCTCGGACTGTGCGGCTTTGGCTCTCAAAATGGACGCCTTGTCCCGGGAAGTCGCGGCTAAGTACACAAGGTTCTCGGAGGGGGTGAACGCGAATGTACCCGCCTTGGCGGTCAGGTGAGCGAAGACCATAGAAGATCGCGTGCCGTCAAGAACAGACAGGTAAGTGATTGTTGAGTGCCACGTGGCAGGGGACTGGACAGCAGGATCGTACGCCGGGTCGAGAGAAGTCGTCAGCATCAGGTTTGACCCCTTTGCAGAGATTTGCATGTCGTTGATGGAAGCCATTGGCTCATCTTGCAATTTGCTGTGGAAGACCCTCGGTTCCGACACTTTATCTCCGTCAGGTTCTGCGAGTGGCCACCAATACGTGATTACCTCGCCCGTCAACGGAAATGTTACATTGCTGGGTGCAGAAGCAGAAGAAGAAGAAGAAGAAGAGGGTGCAGAAGCAGCAGCAGAAGAAGAGGGTGAAGAAGAAGCAGAAGCAGAAGCAGAAGCAGAAGGAGAAGAAGAAGAAGAAGAAGAAGAAGAAGAAGAAGAAGAAGA